GTAACTGCTGGTTGTGGTGCTCAGAGGCTCTCTGCACTAGAAAAATCACATAAACCATTATTGCCACCTTGAGTCCTATTTCCAAGAACCCTCGTCCTGATTTTTACAACAATGCAAACAGTACCAGACAGAGGAAGGAGGAGGATGAGAGTGACTAAACCAGCAGCCCCTAAAGCCTCCTGTCTCCCCTTCTCAGCCCACTGATAATGTGAGCGGTTCCTTATCCTCCTCAGTCCCATTCTGCCCCATAGCTCAGGGGGGAAAGTGGACCAGCTACTGAATAAAAACCCAAGTTGCATCAAGTAAGTTAGAGGGGCCCAGGCTCCTACTGACTGTAAATGAGTCAGTCACTGGAGGAAGTGCTTTCAGCTGTCCCCTAGAAAACAGCATGGCTTTTCCTCTTCAATCTGACTCATCAATTTGTTCCTGAGTCACTGAACATGACAATTACATGTCAAGCACCATACATGCATAGCAACCTTTGCTTTTTCTTTTTTTAATACTTGAAATAAAATAGAAAATCATCAGATGTTTACTCATAATGTCTAAAACTACGTCTCTGAGAGAGGAACACATGCAACCATCTTGGCCTACAGACAGCAATTTTAAAATTTCAAGGAAAGTAGAATACTTGTGCATTTGCATAAATACCTTAGTTATGTAGTGCTGCTATAACATAAATGCCACAAGTGGATGGCTTTAATGAACAGAAGTTTATTCTCTCACAGTTTAGGAGGCTAGCAGTCCAAATTCAGAGTGCCAACTCCGGGAGAAGGCTTTCTCTCTCTGTTGGCTCTGGAGGAAGGTCCTTGTCATCAATCTTCCCCTGGTCTAGGAGCTTCTCAGCACAGAAGCCCCAGATCCAAAGGATATACTGAGCTTCTGGCACTATTTTATTGGTAGTAGGAGGTCTCCCTGTCTCTCTGCTTGATTCTCTCTTTTATATCTCAAAAGAGATTGACTCAAGATACAACCTAATCTTGTAGATTGAGTCCTCATCATTAACATAACTACCACTAATCCTACCTCATTAACATCATAGAGGTCGGATTTACAACACATAGGACAATCCATCAGATGATTAAATGGTGGACAAGCACACAATACTGGGAATCATGGCCTAGCCAAATTGACACATATTTTTGTGGGACGCAATTCAATCCATAAGAATAGGTATGTGATCTGCAAATCCCTATGAATGCCAAACACGCTAAAAGAAGAAACGTACATGAGAATAGGACTGATTTCTCACTGGTCTGAGTTACCTACTCTCCCTGCTTTTGTGCAGGTTTCTGAAGAGCTTGCAGAAAGTTCTGGAACAGGGCTCCCATTGAGGATTTGTGAGACTCACTCCTCACACCTCTGCCTAGTTCTTCATTTCACTCTGTATCCTCTCATTAAAAATGGGACACAATCACAAGGCCATTGAGTAGAGAGGAGATAAAAGTGATATTTATCTTAGTGTGCCTGGGAGAAGGAAGCACAGTGGCCTATGGGGTCAGGGACAGGGCGCTCTGCACAAAGTGAAGATACAAGACATGCCTGTGACAGTTGACATTCTTACACCTGAGGTGAGGGGTGGGGATGATGCATGACTTCAAGCAGAGCGGCTTCAGTCAGCCAGTACTTCCACTGCCAAAGTGACCACAAGATCTCAGAGAATGTCAATTGCAGATCCTAGAAAAACATTAACATGCAAACACACACACAGAGTTCTGAACATGGAATTCAAAATTGGGACCCTTAATTTCTGAATTGTCCCCTCTGCACTAATAAGGTCACTTTGGGTTGTAGGCACAGTGTTAAGAGGCAGAAGAAAAGCAGGTCAGTAGGAGAAAGAAGGGCACTCTATATCCAGTGACTTTCATTTCCTATGGAGAGGAGAATCAGCCACAGAACAGAATGCCATTGATATTGGTGTGCTGGTTAAAGAAAAGGAAGGGGTGGTCAGCCCAGAATTTCAGGGTAAAGGTGAATGGTCCACGTTTACACAAAAAGCGAATGGCTGTGGCAGCGGCTGCTTCAGTGCCATACTCATTGACTTCCAAAAAACCTTGTGTGCAACCTTGGACACAAACAAGTCTCTCTTGGGTGACATTCCAGAAACGTCTGTCCTGGCCCCATCAAAGGTGTCAGCCATGCCCAAATTCGTAAGGTTATTCTCCAGGTCATAACTACCCTCCAGTTTAAATTTGGGAAGGAAAACTTCCACCTCTTCTTCAATCATCTTGTCTGGCCTTGTCCATTCTATGAATCTCTCATAAGTAAGTTCCTTTTCCATCAAAAACAAGAGAGTTGGAGATTTTAAGATCTAGAACAGTGCTATCCAATAGAACTTTCTGCTATGATGTTAATGTTCTACACCAGCACTGTACAATATGTCAGCCATGAGCCAAAGGTGGCTACTGAGCACTGGAAACGTGGGTGGTGCAAGTGAAGATATTAATTTTTAATTTAATTCAAATTAATTTAAATATTAGGCAGTTGTATAAACAAAATGTGGTATATCAAATCTATACAATGGATTTTTGGGGGGGAGCATAAAAAGGAATGGTAAAGTGGTGCATGCTACATTAATAAACCTTGAAAACATTCTGCTAAGTGAAAGAAGCCAGTCACAAAGGACCACATACTATATAATTCCCTTCATATGACAGCCCAGAGTAGAGAAATCTAGAGACAGAAAGTAGATTAGTGGTTTCTTAGCTTTAGATGAGGTAGTGGCAGTGAGTGAGACAGGGTGGTGGAAGCTAGAGAATATGAGTTTCTTCTTGATGCGATGAAAACGTTCTAAAACTCACTGCGGTAATGGTTGCACAAATCTGTGAATATACTAAAAACCAGTGAATTACACATGTAAATGGCTGAATTTTATGGTAAGTGAATTATATCACAATAAAATTGTTTAAAAAATTTAAATAGGTACCTGTGGCTAGAGGCTACCATGTTTGACATCACAGATCCAGAAGAAAGCACAGTGATGAGAAACTATTCAACTAGAAGATGGTATTGTACTTCTGTCCTTGATTCTTGAATCCCAGACACTTAGTCAAACCTGTTCCCTGAGGCAGAAACTTCTAATTAAGGCATAGCTTGGACTATATATGTGAGAGAACGGCTATTCCCTTGCAGTTCGTTCATTATTCTGTTTTATTGATGCCTTGTCTCTACTTACACCACCCCACTGTTTTATATATTATAGATTCACAGTACACTTTGATAGCTGACAGAGGATAGTCTACCAAATATGAGAAAATATTTATGAAGATATAATACCATCCATTTTCCTTCCTTCCTTGAATAGCCCAGTACCTGGCACTTGGTAGGCATTTGAGTATTTATCAAAATAAGTGAATGATTATCTGATAATTAAGATGATTATACTACAAAATTAGCATGGAGAGACTTCCAGGATGCCTTCTTCTGTGTGTGTAAGTGGTGGGTGGGGAGGGAAGGAGATGGGAGAAGACACATGAGAAAGCACTCGTACAGAACTTCATTGGCAGGAAGAGTTCTAGTCTGGAAGGCCTCAGACCAGAAGGACAGCAGAAAGTGAAGACCAGCATCTCTAGGATACTTGAGCCATGAAGACGTTGTGGTTAGAGGAGTTGCCGTTTGTCCTCAGATAACAAAGAAGGTTTTCAAACCAAAACGTTCAGTGTTAAAGTAGAAGAAGCTTTGCACATTTATCATCAGATAGCAGAGAGTATTTTCAAACTAAAACGTTCAGAAAAAAGATGGCTTCAGAGATCACGTGGTTGAGTATCAGAGCAGAATGAACTTTATATGGTTATATAAGCCTGCGGGGGTAGTTTGAGGGTGAAGTGTCTTAGGGTGAAGGATGGGAATCAGGTGGTGATATAGCCCAGCACTGCTGGTAAAATGAGATTCAGAGGTTGAGAAAATTGTAACATGGAAACTTGACTTTGAGGCTATTTATATTTTGTTCATCAACTTTTTGTTTTCTTCCATGTTACAGAAAAGAGAATCCGAGATGGGAAGGTTCTAACTGTCCTTGGCCAGTGAAAATGGTGAGCAGCAGATGCTGAGATTGAGTGTGATGGGGTCATTAGTCACCCAGAGCAGGAAAACTCAAGAGTAAGTGAGAGTTCACACAGGAAGACTCCACCAGGGAGCCCTCCTGCTATCAATACATCTCTACCACGTGGAAGCCTGCTTTCAGAACTTTTCTCTGCCCTAAGGTTGGAGGGGTTTGTAATTTATTGCAGTAAGAAAGGGCCTTCTATTTTGTCATGATTCAGTCCTTGGCTGCACTTTATTTCTATCCTTTGATCAGGCAAGGAAGGCCATCTCTGCTTCCTATGAACAGGCCACTTATTCAGGTTCCTCTCACAATACTGCGTTGGTCTGACAAACATTTCTTCCTTACAAACAAGTAGTAAAACTCAACAGAAACAATGTCTATATATTTTAGAAATATATTTAAGGCAGCATTCATATTTCTGACTAGAGTGACTAGGGTACAATGAATGAGGAAATGTGGAGTACTTAGACGTGAGTAGCAAGTTAGAACGTCCTCTCCTCCTCAGAAGATCTGCCTACGTCTCCCTCAGTCACCATCACAGTGCTCTCGCACTTCAGGAATTCTCCCACCTTCCCCCAACTTACCTCTGATTCCAGGAAGTTAATAGATAATTGGAAATTGAGCTAGTACCAAAAATTATTAACTGGGAAATGGGGAGATGGAGCACAGCAGAAATTCTAATGTAATTCTCCTGCCATCATAGCACGATGCTGACCTCAAAGATCAGCTGCTTAACATCCATAAAAACCAGTTGCCATTCAGTCGATTCTGACTTATAGAGACTCTACCAGACAAAGTAGAACTTTCCCATAGTGTTTCCAAGGCTGTAATCTTCACGGAAGCAGATTACCACATCTTTCTCTGCAGAGTGGCTGATGGCTTTGAATCACCAACTTTTCAGTTAGTAACGGAGAGCTTAACCACTGTGCCACTATGGTTTCTTTGACACTCTTACCATTTTTAATCAGTGTTTTTATCTGGAAGCATGATGATCATATTCAGCTCCTTTCCAACATAGGGAAGCAGCAGAATTTGGGTGAATATTTCTTTCACACAGGTCAGTTTAAATGTAGATTCCTTCAACATCATCTGCAAAGGTTTCTCCTCAGTCTACAAAGGAAATGGACAAATAATAAATTGAAACATTACAGCTGACGCACTGGACTTGTTCGGCTTTGAAAGGGTTGGCCACTCTCTAACCCTAGATCCACTTTCTTTCTTGGCTTCCAGAACATCACATCGGCCCCTCCTTTGCTGGCTTGTCTTCATTACCAAGACCTCCAAACACTGGGGGTCCCAAGGTTAAATCCTCTTGGTGTCTCATCCAGTCTCATGATTGTAAATATAATTCCCGAATTCACACCTCTAGCTGGACCTCCCTCAAGTACTCCAGACTCATGTATTCCACTGCCTACTGGACATCTGCATTGGACATAGACAAGAAATCTTCCATGCAACATGCATCACTGAGCCCTTATAATACCTTGCTAATCTGCTCTATATCTGTCATCTTTCTCATGCCTTAGTGCCATACAGTTTCTGTCGCTACTACTCAGCTCTGCTGTTCTCCCAGGAAAGACGCCAAAGACAATAAGTAAGCAACTGAGCGTATCTTTGTTCCAATAAATCATTTGTAGTAACTGAATCACTCACTAAATTCTCATTTGTACAGATAAGTTTCTTCTTATTTAAAAATAAAAGAATTAAAATGCACTCAACATCCATTGCAACCCCTTTCTGTCTTGTCTTTCTCTACTGTAGAGACTCAAAAGCAAGATAGAATTCCTCACCTCCCGGTTGCTAGAGGAGACAGCACAAAACCATTCTGGACAATGAGATATAGAAGCAAGGTTTCCCTTTCTGAATGAGAGGGCAGAATCTCAGAAGGAACAGGGTTCTGTTCTTTGCTTTTATATACTTCCCTTTTCCTCCAGCCTGGATTGAGGATGTGAGGTCTCAACCACCTTCTCACCAGGAGGAAGAAAGTTATGTGCTAAGGATGACAGGGTAGGAGGAGAGAGAGCCTGGTTCCCTGAAAGAATCACCCAAGTTTCACATCAGCCTGTCTCTGTCCACCTCAAGTTAGGGGAGATAAACTTTCATGAAGTTACAAAACTGTGAGCCGGGCTTCCTGTGCCTTGTGCTGAATGAATTCCTAATATACATCTTGCTAAAGAAACTTGAAGAAAATGTGAATCATTTCACAGAGGATGGTACAACATTCATTTCAGAATGAGAATATGTTGATGTTGTTAGGTGCCCTGGAGTCGATTTCTACTCACAGGGACCCTTTATACTACAGAATGAAACACTGCCTGGTCCTGCGCCATCATCACAATCTTTGCTATGTTTGAATGAAAAAATATTTCTTGAAAAACTGAAGGCTCAGGATCAGATAACTATGATCAATGAGCAAGATTAAACTGAATCTGTTCAATCAACTTTGTGTATGTGCAAAAATTTTTGTAATTGCAGTTAAGCAAAAAAGAAAAAGAAAGTGGATTTTGTAAGAAATATAAAGGACCATCAGCAAATAATGTCTTCTAAGCTGGATGGAGCTAAATTCTATGTCTACCCTATGGACATGTCCTTGTTTTCACTTTTTTTTTTTTTTAAATTGTGGCAAACATAGGTAACAAAACATTTGCCATTTCAATAATCTTCACATTTACAGTTTGGTGACATTAAGTATATTCATCATGTTGCTCAAATATCACCATTATCAGTTCCCAAATTTTCCATCACCCTTAAGAAAAGTTCACCTTGTTCATCTGTTTTAAAACTAGAATCTGTCCGTATATTTTCTTTATTATATAGAGAACTGATGATCATTCACTTGTTGCTTATTCGTTGAGCAACAACTGCTTGCCAGTCACTTGTAAGACGACAGTCTCTGCCCTCAAAAATTGCTCATCAGGGAGGGAACACAGACTCATCATTAATCCACTGCCCTACTCTCGTGGAGATAGGCACAGGGCCTATGACAGCCGAGAGAAGGGGCATCAGAACCAGACTGGCAGGAGGACTGTCACGTAAGCCTCCAGAGAACTGTGGTGGAAACAAAGCTTTTCAGGACTGATGGGAAATGAAGACTGAGAAACAGGTTGGACCAGATTACAAACAGCCTCACACACCACACTGTGGAGTCTGAACCTTATTTCAGAAGGAGTGAGGCGCCAGGAAGTACTTTAAGCCTGAGAGCTATAGGGCCAGATTTGTGATATAGCTAGAATACCCTGGAAACAGGATAGAAGATGACTTGAGGGAGTAGACACAGGGACCTAGGAGTGTGCAGCCACTTTTGATGAGATACACAATGTTGGAGAATGAGAGAAAGGCCCCAAGGCTTAGTGCTAGGCTGCTGGGCTGTCCAAGGGCCACGTAAAGTAAAAGTTCCTTGAGGTTAACCTTCTTTCATGTTTTAAAACAAATATGAACGCAGAAACTATTTCCAAAAATCTCCTTTGTTATTGAAAAATATTCACCTTCTGATTTTAAAGAAGTCTTTCCTCCCTACGCTCTTTGTTAAACTGCCTATGGCAATTTCCTTTGAAGTAGATGGCACTGATGAGAATCAGCTTAATCAGCGAATCAACTGAACCCGACAGGAGCAAACTCAGAAAATTTTACCTGTAAAGAAGTATTAAAGAACAGTTAGCTAGTGTAGCTTTCTGATTCATGCACTTTCTGATTCATACGTCAGGAAAAATAGTCAGATTCTTTTAGAACTTTTTATGGTTTAAATTGTGTCTTCAAAAAAAGGTATGTTCAAGTCATAAACCCTGGTATCTGGTACCTGTGAATGTAACCTGATTTGTAAATAGGGTCTTTGCAGATGTCATTAGTTCACATGAGGTCATACTGGAGTATGGTGGGGCCTAAAACAATGACTGATGTCTTTATAAAAAGAGAACAGACACAGACAGACAGACATAGAGGGAGATAGCCATGGAAAGATGAAGGCAGAGATTGGAGTTATGGCTTCACAAGTCAAGGATGCCTGGAGTACTACAAGCTGGAACAGACAAGGAAGAATTCTCCCTTACAGGCTTCAGAGAGAGAATTGTCCTGATGACACATTGATTTCAGACTTCTAGCCTCCATAACACTAAAGTAAATTTTTGTAGTTTTAAGCCATCCAATCTGTGGGACTTTGTTAGGGCAACATAGACGAAAGAATTTCAGTGTCTCCCAAAAGATAATCATGTAAAGCGTTAGTTTGTCCTTCAAACAACGACAACTTAAGTCGAGTGTCAACCTTCCAAGAAAAATACCAGAACTTAAATAAAATACATCAAATGAACCACAGATATTAATATGAGCAAGATGAATTAATAGCACAAGAGATAGAAAGCAGTGACTGGTGCCTACAACTTAAGGAAAGGGACTGAAAGGATGTTCAAAAGGGGTAGAGGTTGTAGCAAGTGTAAAGAACACTTTAAATTAAGAATTGCAGGTAGACAAGGGTTTGGCCAAGAGTCCTGCAAGACTGCATGGACACGTGTGGAGCACGGGCACTGCTGCAGGGGGACAGCCAATCTCTTCAGTGAGAATTGTTCTTTATTCTCATCGTGAAAATGAAAGAATATATGCAAACAAAAGCATTATAAAAGTGTGGAATGTTCTGGAAGAGGTCTACTAAAAATTGAGAGACATCACAGATATTTGACAAGAGCATGAAAAAGCTAGAGAAAATGTCATACATTGACAATATTTGAGAAGCAAAGTTTAAAGTTTGCAGTCACTTAGGAAAAATAAATTATTCCTATTTACATCTGACAGTCTTATGAAAAAACTGACAGTAAGACTAATTAAAATATTACTGAAATAGAATGGCAATCTATTTTCACCTTCAGTCTTTTCAGCTACCCAGGTGTTTATGTGGTTTCTGGACTCCTCTGTAACGTAAGCAAAGCTGAGCTCTTCCACCTCTGAATGGTAGAATGTGCGGCAAGAATCTTTAAAAGACTAGGGTAGATGGGGCAACATCAGTGCACAGCTACAAACACGACCCACCAGTAGTTTACTTCTTCATTGTGATAAATCAGAACATTGATTATTATATGATTTACACATACAATTTCCAAATAAACACAAGCAATTAACCTGAAGTCCACATTCCTAGTTTTCAGCTATATTTAATCTTAGCCTACACACTAAGTGAAATAGTGGCCTGAATACGAACTGATCTTCATGAACTGCTGGGTCCTTTGAGGGAAGAGCTGTGCTTCCATGAGATCAGGAAAAGACACTGAGAAGCTGAAACTACAGTCTCCACTCCTCTGAAAAACAGCTGCATTCCTTGAGGGAGGGTTCATACAGAGAGGGCTCCAGCTCTCTCTACATTTCCGAATAACAGCCTGTAAACCAGGGCCTGTTGTTCCATAAACAGCATGGGAGAATATGTAATTCTAGACCAGCACTGTCCACCAGAACGTTCTGTGATGATGGGAATGTTCTAAATCTGCAATGTCCAATTCGGTGCCACATGTGGCTTTGAGCTCTTGAAATGTGGCTGGAGGGATGGAAGAACGGGCCAGAAATGAGCACTCTGCTGGCACTCCTGGAGGGAACCTAAATGGCTACAGCATTTTGGAAAGCAATTTGGCAAAATTTATTTAACCTTTAAAGCTTCATTCCCTTCCTCTTCTGCAAATCCATCTTAGAGTAGCACGCATGTATGCACAAAACCATGTAAGAGAATGTTCCCTGTCTGTTCTCCTCACATTGAAAATGATTCAGGACATTCGCGTATATGCAGAGAGTAGCTAAAAAGAGTGAGGTCAGTCAGCATATACAAGGAAGGAGAGAATTTAAGACATATTGTGAAAGTGAAAATAAATTAGAAAATAATATGTATGGTACAATGAAATTACGTAAGAAAAAACCCACAAGACAAGCTTTTCATATGAGTGCCAGTTAACCCATGAATTGATAAAAGACTGGAGAAGGAAGTTATGG